GCTTTTTTTTTTTTTTTTTTTGTATTTTCTGGGGGAAAATATCTGGCATCATTATTCATTTTATGATAAATGTCGTGTACAATTCAAACAATTTGTACTATTGTTCTATAAACAAAAAATTCCTTCAACTTTGTCCACACCATGGACCAGAAAGTGAATCTTATCAAGTAATATATCCATGTATTATATCCACCATTCACAGAAAAATTTAAAAAAAAATTAAAACAAGAATATTATAGAGCCTCGATTAATTGACAGAACACAAATCTTTCTGTTTGATTCTTTATGTACCCACGAAATATTGCTTCTCCCTAACACCAGTAGATTAGTCCACACATTCAAGTGTTAATAGAAACACGTACAAATTTGATTTTAGTTTATTATTATTATTATTATTAAATCTGGGGTATTCTAAGTTCTAACATCTTATAGGAGGATGTTTAGCTCATAGTTTGCAAAGTAAACTTTTTTTCTATTTGCTCTCAAATCATGATCTGACACCTACACTATGTTCAAACACATCCTAACCATGATTTTACAAAATATACTTTTTTATTGATGAAACTCAATTCAGCACACTCCAAAGCAGGGTTTGGAAGATGCAAATTATAATCCGAACATGTTATTAATGATATCTTCCTCATACTAAACTAGGACTGTGGCTATCAACGCAGAGTTCAACATATAGTCTTCCTTTTACGAAACTCTTCCATCCCATTTGCTATTGATTGAGCTAGATTAAGCATGAAAAACAAAATAATAACTATTTTCAATACAAATTCTCGGGAATTCCTTGGATTTTAAGAGCAAAGACAGATGTTAGAGGTGGAGGGGAAGACAAGACATCAGAGCTTTTACAGAATTAGTGTGTCAGATCAGAAGATTGTATACAAATTGAGTCCTAACAATGATGATGAAACTATTGCAAATTATCAATGCTTAAAACAGATGATAAAACTAGTATTTATTTACAAAAGTTATTTAAGTTCTTCGTGGGAGAACCCACCTACAAAGTGAAGTATGAAGATGACCTTATTTTAGTCCTGAAGTCAAGCAATCCCCACCAGTTAAAAGGAAAATTATTTCAGGTTGAAGCAAATTGAGTCATAGGGATCAATTTTTTTTATCACCTTTAGTTCATTGCACCAGTTGATAAACGATAATTTAGCATGCAATTTGAGGTTTTTAAAAATGCCATTAGTATAATATTCCCTTTCAGTACTTACCAAAATAGAGCATCTTTTAGTTCATATGCAACTGCATACAAGGAAGTGCCTCGAATAATGATTACAACCATTAATACAATCACATGAGAAAAGCTTATAGATAGATGCTTCTTCAAAGAATTTATCCATTTCAAATTCCAATGTCTGTTACAACTGGTATGACCAACATGGCTCTTCCACCTAAGAAAACAACTGATGGACACAAACTGTAAAGCATAGTGAAATTCTATAAAAGCAGGAAACAGTAATGGGCCACCAGAAAGGAATAACTTCCGTAGTAAAGAAAAGGTATGTTGTTATTTCATTTCCAAAAGTAAGAGATTACAAACTACAAAGATGGCCTCAATCCTCACTACAAGAACATGGGCCATAATTTCCAAACGATGAACATCACTCAAGGCATGCCTATAAGTCAGAATGAAAAAATACCTGAAGTAGGTGAATCAATGTGACATACACAGATCAAACACTACTAATCCACAATGGTATCAAAACAGAGTAAACTGAAGGAACTAGGAGCAAAGTGGTTAACAAAAGTTACAAAAAAAATAATAATGAACACCAATGGTAAGAATATAGCTTTCCCTTTCTAAATCCCTATACATTTTTTCCTGTCATAGGTAAACTTCCACTTCCAGTATACTAGTTTAACTTCTAATGAAATTGTGTTATCTGGTATTAGAACTAGAAACTCACCGGCCTTTTTTCCTAGACTTGAAAGGGAACCTAGAAGGGGTTGAAGGTGAGTACTCAACGGGCAATTGGGGTGGCTCCAAGTCCCCACTAAGCATTCCTACAACCTCCTTCATTGAAGGACGACGATCAGGTGACTTTAGCAAGCAAAGCAAAGCCACCTTGATGCAGAGAAGAGCCTGCTCCTTATCCAACATCTCAATAGACTCATCAACCAGCTCAATGAGCTTCCCATTTTTGGCACAATGGCGCGCCCACGACAATAGATTCGCCCTCTGAAACTCAGACAAGGGCGAACCACTCACCTGAAGTGGGCGCCGCCCAGAAATGATCACAAGCAACACCACCCCAAAGCTATACACATCACACTTCTCGGACACATCCCCACCATAGCCACACTCAGGAGCAACATAACACACAGTTCCCCTCATACTAGGAGTACTACTCACACCACCACTCTTTGGAATCTCCCCACTAGCAGAATCAAAGCTGTTATTCCTCCTCCCTCTCCACAATTCACCACTCAACCCATCCATCCACCACTCCATGTTCCCACGGTTATTCCTACTCCTACTCTTGACCTTCCTCCTGTCCCTATCCAATGCATCGTCACTCACCCACCAATCATCACCATTCTCATCATCATCACTCTTCACATTCTTCTTGTTCTTGTTCTTGTTCTTGTTCTTCTTTTTCTTCTTTTCATCCTCCTCGCAACACTCCTCCTTCCACCATTCCCTCACAGTCCTTCTCTTCCCCTTAACAACCCCATCGAACTTTTCCTCCTCCATTGACTCCCACCATTCCAATTCCCTCTTCCTTCTCTTCTTCTTCTTCTTCTTCTCCTTTTTCTCCACATCTCCACATTCAACTCCACCATTCACCCTCTCCTTATTCTCCCTCCCCATCCACTCCATCACATAATCCCTCACCGAGTTACTCTTCAACCCTCTCCCATTCCTCTTCCCACCCTCTTTCTCCGGCGACGCCCCCGCGGCCACCGCCAACCCCGTCTCCGGCGAATCCATCGCAGTCTCCGGCGATTGCCCCACACCCAAGCTACCTTCCTCCATAAAAGCACTATGAGCACTCTCCACCGACCCACAATCATCAACCTCCTTCTTCTTCTCTTCATCGTTATCAACACAAGTACCACATTCAAGAACGTCAATTATAAACCTGGGAATCTCGGAGCGCAACCGAGCCAAGCCGAAATCGCCGATCCTGGGGGAGAAATCGCGGTCGAGAAGCACGTTACTCGGTTTGATGTCACCGTGAACAACGGGAGGGTCGCAGGAGTGGAGGTAGGAAATTCCCTTGGCGATGTTGAGGAGAACTTGGAAGCGCGTGTTCCAGTTCGAGAGTTCGGGGCACTTGCGGTGCAAGAGCGCGTCTTGGAGGTTTCCGTTGTGCATGAGCTCGTACACCAAGAGGAAGCGGCGTCGTTTCGGGTCGGAGGAGAAGTGCGTGGCGGTGATCACGTGCCGCGAGATGAGCCTCGACGCGAAGAAGAGCTCGTTGTGGAACTCGCGCTCGCCCTGCTGCTGGTGGGACGAGTCCATCAGCTTCACGGCGACCGGGGCGCCGCCGAGGTCCCCGGCGAAGACGGGGCCGAAGCCGCCGTGGCCGAGGCGCGTGGAGAAGGAGCGAGTGGCGCGGCGGAGGACGGAGAACGGGAGGCGGTGCGGCGGGGAGGACGTCGCCGGAGGGGGGAGGGCGGCGGCGGCGCGCTTGCGGTGGAAGAGGAGGAAAATAACGAGGAGAAGGAGTAGGAAGCATGTTGAGGCGGTGGCGGCGAGGAGAGGGACGAGAAACTGGTGGTGGTGGTGGTGATGACGTGGCGGGGGGTGGGGAATCGGGTAGTGGTCGGGTGAGGGTGACGTGGAGAGTTGTCGGGAGGGCATGGTTATGTGTGGTGGAATGGGGTGGTGTTGGTCATGGCTTTGAGATGTTGCAGGGAAAAGGGAAAAGGAGTGAAGAATGGAGGGAACTTTCTCTTTCTATATCTAAGTTGAAGCTTGATGCTTGCTGTTTTCGCTACTTACATTCTCTTCTTCTCTGTCTTGAGTTAGACTGTGTCATCTCATGTGTGTTCGTGGGTGATGCTGAGACCACTGTTTGTTTCTTCTTGGACTTTTGCTGCGGTTGTTTGTTTGGATTGGCATCAGACAACTGCTACTTTTCTTTTTTTTTCTACTTTAATTATTATCATTATTATTTTTATAAAACTAACTAAAATTTTGTTAGAAATTTTAAACTCTTTTAGTCTTATTTATGATTTAATGGGTTTCTTTATTTAACTATGGCTTTAATATATTTCAAGTCTGTGTAAAATTTTGGTAATATTTTTTTTTATTTTTCATTTTTTTCTATAGCTTGAAATTATTGTATTTAGTCTTTTAAGAATTATAAATTTTGATTTTATTCTTGTAAAATGTTTTTTTTTATTCTTCAAAATTTCAAAGCTCATTAACTTTTGTGTTTAATGTAAGATAAATAAATAATATTTATTTTAAAAATTTATAATTTATTTCTATAAATATTGTATAGTATTATAAATAATTGTGGGTATATATTATTTAAGATGATTATTTAATTTTTTAATAAACACATGAGAAGTTAGCAGATGATATAATGGTATGAACTAAAACAAGTGATTTCAAAATTTAGTGATATTAATAATGTTTTTTATAAAAACCTAAATCAGGACTTGCTCTTTTATCTTAACTAAAAACATGTTAATTAAATCTATATTTTCTTTAATGAAAGACTGACCATGTCTTTAAGATATTGATTGAGGAATTATTATATAATTTTTTATTATATTTATGATATAAATTAGTAATTATTATCACTATTTTGAATATTTATAGTTACTACTATTATTATATAGTATATTATATAATTTAAAAAAAATGTTAATTAAATTACCACTATACTTAGAGTGGATTGGAATAGAAGGAGGAGAGAGATAAGAAATAAAGGAATTTAAGAGAGAGAGGAGAGAAAAGGATACATGTAATACTTCTGTTTCAATTTTTTTTTTTTAATTTAGTCCTAAAATAATTGACTTTTAAGCAATTTAATGTCTAATTAATATTTTTCTTAATTATATCTTTATTTAATTGGAGTTTTCATAGTCAACTAATCGCTTACCTTTTAAAAAATTAAGTTGAGATAATGAGATATTAAATAAGATTTTGTTTAGTCCAAATTTACACATCTATTAAATATTTCTTAATTTTTGTGCAACTAAAGATTTGAAACAGAAGACGTATATGATATGATCGAATTTGTAAAAGAGTGAAAGTGAGTTGTAAAAGAGTAAGATGTATTTTTCTAAGCACTCAAAAAAAACATTTTTTTTTATTGAACATAGTTAATAAAAATTACAACAACCTTGGTCAAAGGACAACTAGCATTTTTTTATTAAATATTTTAACTATTTTAGAAGTCATCAAGTCAACATTGATTATCGGCATCTTAATTATGATTATTCTTATTTATTTTTGAAAGCGAGGTTATACTTAGATATTTAATGTTAAGTTGAATGAAATAAAATAGAATGAAAAAAATTATCTTATTAAGCGCTCTTCATTTGAATTTTGAATAAAATTAAAATAAAACAATTAATTTAAGGAAATTGAGATATGAGAAGAAAAAGAAAAAGAAAAATTCAACATAAAGAAATATTATTAAAAAAATCCATCGTTTAAATTTTTAAAAAAGTATAAAATTTAATATTGTATAGTTATGATAAAAGTACTTTACATATAATAAATTTTAAATTTTATTTTCCAAAACTTACGTATAAATATACTATTTGTAACAAGTATGATGTGTACATCTAAACTTACGTTTAGACGTTTCCTATAAGCGAGTCTAAGACTCTTAAAACTCAAACTTCTGACTTATATCCTATGAGTTCCTTTACAAGTTACAACTATATATAATCTTTGTGGCTTAGTACTCTTTATTTATTTATTTATTATTTTTCTATTAATGTGTTTCTTGTTTTCTAGTTTACTTGTATTTATGTGAACAGCTACGATTGCACCACAGACTGGGAATTTATTTATTTATTTAGTACTCAGTTTCTTGTTTTCTAGTTTGCTTGTGTTTATGTGCACAGCTACAACACACCACACAGGCTGGGAATTGATGTCACTCAATTGACTTTGTCAAAAAGCACTTTTCCAGTTGTTATGATTTTTCTTTCCATGTGTAAATTATGACAACAAAATCAGTGCCTAAATTTCATAATACCTGCTTTTACATACTCATAGCTTCATTGCCTCTTTTCTTTTAATGCAAGGCATGCAAAGGAAAGGACTAATTATTATAACTTTTTTATAAGTATACTTTGGAATAGCGTCTATATAGCTAACAAATATCTTGAGGCCGGAGTATACCGGATAAGAAATTAACAAATCATTTATTTTATATAAAACTTTATATATATATATAATAGATTTGTAATACTTTCTTGATTATTATACATATATACAGGAAAAAGCATACATGATAATATCATTTTTCGTGTGAAATTGGATGGTAAATATCAACTCTTAAATTAAAATAAATAATTTAAATTAAAATATTATAAAAAACTATTATATATATTATCATAATTGTAATTATCCTTATTTTTATCACTATCATAAGAATTGTAACTATCGTTATTATTATTGTTGTTATTATTATTACTATTAGTATAATTATTGTTACTAATATTATTATTATCACTATTATTATTGTTATTATCAATATTATTATTATAATTGTTAACAATGATGGTAATAGCACCAACAACAATTGTGGTGATAATCAAAATTGTAAAATAGAGATAATGGTGATGATAATAATAACGACAAAATATTAAAAAAGAATTAATTAAATTAAATTATGTGATAATTAAACTGGTATAACATTTTATTTAAACTAAATTAAACTATTAAATAGTTTAGATGAACCAAACTGCTCTATTTCCTAGTTTAGTTAACTAACTTCTAAATATTCAAACTGAATTATACTTTATACTTTATAATGAATTGAACTATTTCTGTACTCCAAATCAAACTTTTCTTTTGATTAAAATTGAATGGAAGTGATTTTTATAGTAATTTGGATTTTTAAAAATAGAACTTAAAATTTAGTTCAATTCAGTTTTTATAAAAAAAAAATAGCTTTTTAATATTCTAAAATTAGTTTAGTTTCCTTAGTAGTTTAATTTGAAATAATTTTTAAATAGTTCTATTAATTGGTAAAAAAAAATTATGCAAACTTAATTAATGCTTTCAAGTTTGAGACTTAGATATGTAATGTTTAGAGAGAAAAACATGTGACCCTTGAAAAATATTATTTTCCTATTACATTTAATTAGAATCGATAAAGATAGGTTAAAATAAACCTACCCATGAATAATTTCTAAACTCATTATGACTTTAATGAAAAATATCTGATTTGATCAGATACAAGTATAGGTAATATCCAATTTTTTAAATTAGAGATGGGGACAATGATGAGTATATATATTCTTACCTACCTATAATCGTCCATATTTCCATCGCTGCTATAAATTTCTAAAAAATTAATTTACTTTTTTTTTAATTTTACTTGAAATTTATGTAATTCTTACTCTATTTTAAATTTATGTCAGATGAAACTTAAATAACAAAATTTTGTATTTGTTACTCCATGTTAAAATTCTTATTTTTATTATTTTTTATAAAATAAAATATTTAATGATTAGAGATGAGACACAAATTTCATACTCATGTAATATGGTGACAGTGATGAGTATAGGATACAAACTAAAAAATGAGGATATTGAATCTTGCACATGTCCTATCGCATTGGCATCTCTAATACATAAGTAAAACAAATTAAAATAAAACAAAATCACATTATGTAAAATTAACGTAACATGATATGATACTCTTCCTCTTTTTTTTTTCTTTTTTTTTCTTTTTATTTTTCCTCAGTTGGTTTCTCTCGTGATATTATTGAATTTATGTAGCGTTTTATTTTTAGAAGATTCTATATCTCGAGACTCAGCCGCTGTTTTTGGATATAAATGAGTTTTCGTTGTGTAACATGATTAGCTCCTATTATGTTAAATTTAATGCAAGTCATAATTTTTACATTGAATGTATGTTACAATACGTGGAATTAATTCGATGGTTAACTAAACAGGCACTTAGTTAATTACTTGATTAATTTGCATCAGTTAAAAATATGTTTGCCAAAGGTAGGGCTAATGTGAAACCTACCACTTTTGTAAAGGCATGCTAACTAATAAAGGGTTTACATAAATTATCAATTATTAAACATCAAGATATGGAAATTAAGTAAAGTTTGAGAGCATGGCATGGGAAGTGGAGTAGGTGACTTTCCTTTGTATTCTTGTTCAAACTTCCAACTAGCTTCCTTCTTCAAACCAACCCTCCCTCATGCTTTGTTATGATTACCCATGAGGTCATCATCCCACACTTGGTGGTGGAAATAGTTGAAGACTACCAAAATGCCTTTGCTGTTTTCTTTTGGTAGATTTTGACTTTGTAATCTACTAATTGCAACTTTGTCGTATGGTGATAGACTGATAGTGACAAATACGCATTAATAATTTGCCTTAATTTTGGTCTGATTGGGATATAAATGGGAAAAATATTCATTCCTTTTCGTAGTTGATTTTATCTAAAAGCTTTTACAAATAGAATATATATCACTTTCTATTTTTATTTCTTTGTAGTTATTTTTGTTAGGTTTACTTTTTAAGTAACATATGTTCTATAAAAACATGATATGAATATCTTATATCTCTATTTTCAATTTTCAACAGAGATTTAATTACCTAAAAGTAAGATTACTTATACTTATTTATGTTTTACATTATGAATAGTTAAAATTTGATATAAAATATAAATTATTAAATAAAATAAATGTAAATAAACTTATACTTATTCTTGAAATAAATAGATTTTTTCTTTAACTTTTATCTCATTTATATACTAATATAATATTATAATGTAACATGACAATTATTATTTTTTTGTTAAATTTATTAGGTCATTTTTTAACTATTAACATACATTAATCTGGTTTTGAAAATTTCACAATCAAGATTTTAAGTACAGTAA